CATGCCTCTACTCATTTCACTTGAGAATACTATCTCAGCAGCCATTTATGAGCACTATTTAATTAATATTACATATTTAAGCTAAGCATTTAAAAAATTGCTGTGCACACTACAGTCTCCGTGCTCACAGTGTCTCAGACACTAATTTTTTAGCTGAATCACTGTCTGGCCATCTGGGATTTCAGTATGGAGATAAAGGGGTTATAATTTTTTCAGTATTACATGACATCCTGGGTATATATTAGCACAGTTTGGTGTTTTCTTGGGGCGTCTGGCTGAGAGTTAGGACCCAGAGGCATTGAAGCGTGATGTCAGACGTAACAACGTAGCAGATATTCTTAACCACTAACCAACTGTGAATCTGCTATGAGCAAGAGGTGGAGTGGAGGTGCACCACAATAAAGCCTCACCCTTTATTCAATATTCTGTTTCACTTGGGTTAAGGCTAGAAGGGATACATATGGCGCTACTGGGCATGCGCACATCAATACAGTGTAATTTTTGTCACACTGTACAACAATAATTAATATTTTTTGCATTATTGTAAGGGGTAGGTTTAGGGTTGGGGTAGGTGTAGGTGTAGACGTTTTTTATTAACTGTCGGAGCTGTATCCCTTCTAGCCATAACCTTTCACTTGGAAATACATCATAACACTGAAGTCAGTTGCAACTTCCGATTCATGGGTACTTTACTATTGATATTTATCAAGGTATTGAAGTTAGAAATTCCTGTATTATGACCACTAATTCACATACTTTGTCAATAAAATAAAAGTAGGTTTTGTTCTAAGTAGCTTATCCACATAGATCTTTGATATGAATGAATGTTTTTTTGGTAATTCATTAAATATCGCCGGCTAAAAAGTAACTAGTAACTAGTACTCTGAGTAGTTTTTGAGAAGAGTACTTTGTACTTTTACTTAAGTACTGTTTTGGCACCAGTACTTTTACTTGTAATTGAGTATTATTTCAGCAATGTAACAGTACAAAGTTTCAGTACTATTTCCACCACTGTACTACAGTGACCTTAGTCAGTCTTTAATACATTAGCTCATCAATTAACATGATTTCTGCCCGAGTCCCGTCGGATTGCATCGGCTGTGGGGATGAAGACGACAACTCCCATAATTCCACACTCAGTCACGGTGTCATCAAACTACGCCTTTGTTTCTTGTTTGTTTTGAATATGTGCCCTCTAGCGATGAAAACTTCCATATTATGCCTTTAATAAACATCATGTTGTACAAAAAAACCCTATATATGAGAAAACATTTGTGCTAAATAGTGGTTTCTTTCTGTTGTTGTTAAAAAAAATCTTTAAAGATGGCACAAGAGGTCATTTTTATTTCATTTTAAAAAATTAATGTTGAGAGAGTCTTTTTTCAATTAAATTCTTGCTATTATCGGACCATAACACTCTGCATCCAGCATAATTCACAATGCTGGATTTTTAAAAAAGAATCTGACAACTGGAATATAAGCATTTGTCAAGATAAACTCTGAATGTGAAATTTGAATTTGAAAACGTCTCGGTTACGTACGTAACCCTCGTTCCCTGATGGAGGTTATGTCGTGACGACATAGGGGGTTTACTTGAGAGCACCAATCCACTCTGACTTTCAGAGAAAACGCCAATGAATTTTGGCTAGTGGATCTTGCATACCTGAGCCATTCCTCGTGCATACGGGTATAAACAGGCGACAGGTGCATCCACTCATCAGGTTTTACGCTGAGGAGCCGAGAACGTGTCCCTGGCAACCAGTGATGGTTCAAGGTTTTGGCATGGGGACATAACGTCTCCATTCCCTCCATCAGAGAACGAGGGTTACGTACATAACCAAGACGTTTCCTATCTGTCGGTCACTGCGAGTTATGTCGTGATGACATAGGGGGTCCATGGAAAGCACCACAACCTGAACCCCGTCACAACCCAGTAGCGCTGCAAATGTTGACAAGCAGCCGAATCAGACAAATGCTACGCAAAGGTTGTAACCTTCCCAACGCCCCAGAGCAAATTCGCTGACCTTGGCGCCCGCAGGGACCAAAAGGTGAGTACATCGCTGCTGGAGATAGCCAAGCCGCTGTTCCTACCACAGAAAATATTTTCTTAAGTGAAGGGATTTCGACCTTCTTGAAAGGCGCCTCACGCCTTTCCTGTTTGTTGTTTACAGCTTGGCAGTAACGATGGTGAAGCGAGCCTTCCGGAGAAGGGCGCTATGGAGACCACATCCTGCCCATAGGGAGGTATCATGTGGAGACGCTGATATGGACTGACCCAAGCCTGGGGCAGTGCTACATATGAAATGGGTCTCTGAGGCAGGTCCTACCTAGGAGTAGGGAAGAACGGCTGCCAGCAGAGACTGACAGAGTGGTCTGTCAAAGGGAAGACACGGGTTCACCGAGAGGGAAACCTTACCGTGGAAGAATACACATATGGAATCGCCTGCAGGGAATCAAGCCATATGGACACCTAGCCCAGTAAAGGGGCTGACCGGAAACCCGGGCAAGCTAACACCGATACTGGGCCTGGCGTCAGACTGCTCCGCCCAGTCTGACTGCCGGGGATGCTGGTGGATAGTCAACCAGGGTTCGCCATCCGGGGAACTTACTGGAGGAGCAAAAGGCGCTCGCAATGTGGGTACCAAACGGAACAGAAACAAAACGGAACAAAGGATTCTCCACCCGGCCCTCATCTGGGGGAAGGAGTGGCGCTATTCTCGCCATCTCCTGAAAAAGAGCAGCTTCCTACATCTCCGGGTTGCCATTGTCAGGGCCGCTTTGTGGTTTTTTTTAGAGGACTTAGCGGCCGGCTGGGACACGGAGGGCGCCGCAGTCCTCCGAGAGGCTCAACGCACCCGCCTCGATGGTGGCTCAGCATGGGGCGGAGGCACTCTCGAGGATGCAGGGGGGCGCCCTCAGCGACGAGCAGGCTGAGGAGCGGCCACCGGTGGAGCGGTGGCACCTGGAGGATCACGCCGGGGCAAGATGTGCTGGATGGCCTCAGTCTGTCTCTTCACTGCCGAAAACTGCTGGGCAAAGTCTTCGACAGCATCGCCGAATAGGCCAACCTGCGAGATGGGAGCGTCAAGAAAGCGCACTTTGTCAACATCTCTCATCTCAGGGAGGTTAAGCCAAAGATGACGCTCTTGGGCCACAAGTGTGGACATCGCCTTCCCGTGACTTTCGTTGCCCGGAGGGTGAAGTCAGTCGCCGTGCGCAGTTCCTGCATCAACCCCGGGTCGGAACTACCCTCGTGCATTTGTTTGAGTGCCTTGGCTTGGTGGACCTGCAGGATAGCCATGGCATGCAGGGCAGAGGCGGCCTGGCCCGCAGCACCGTAAGGTTTGGCCGCGAGAGAGATTGGCCGAGAAACCAATCATCCAGCCACAAGAAGGCGGGACTGGGAGGCGTGCACACCTCCAGCCCAATACTCGCGGCTGCCCGGGAAGCACGGCCGTCACTTCCGGGTCCGATTCAACACCCAAGGGGGGCAGCCACGCCGAATCTTCATCCTCGGAAGGCGATAGCCCATCCCCCGATGCAGCGATCGACATCCAATCCTCCGACGGCGCACCGAATGAAATGCTGGGACCGTCACATGCTGGGCCAGCGGAATCACTCGGGAGCCGCATGGGACATTCGCTGCGGGAGGAGTGAGAGGTCCGCCCGGCGGAGAAGCTCTCACTGTGACCCTCAGATCTCCCAGAGTTCTAGCCGGCGGTCCCCTGCTCGTGACAGGGAAACCGGGACGAGTTGAGACAGAGGGTGCCGCTCCGTTCCCCATGAGGACAGAGAGGCGAGATCGCAGCTAAGCCATGTTCATACACTTGCAATGAACGCATGAGTCATCCACAAACGCAGCTTCAGCATGTTGGATGCCCAGACACTGAAGGCAACGCTCGTGGCCGTTGACAGAGGACAGGTAACGACTGCAACCAAGACAACACAGACGGAACGGCATCTTTAAAAAGAGCCATCCGTGATGAGAAACTGCTCTTTTTAGTTGAAGCACCCAGGGGAATTGCTGAATCAAAAGGGACACCGCTGTTTGTGCCGTCACACCAACCAGGAACAGCTTCTTTCTTCCAGTCAGAACGAAAAGGCTTTGTGGAGAAGAAATCATTCACCCACTCGGCTCCGAAGCAAAAATCTGATGAGTGGATGCACCTGTCACCTATTTATACCCCTATGCACGGGGAGTGGCTCAGGTATGTAAAATCCACTAGCCAAAATTCATTGCCTTTTCTCTGAAAGTCAGAGCATATTGGGGCTCTGAAGTAAACCCCCTATGTCATCACAACATAACTCGTAGTGACCGACAGATAGGGAACTTGTAGTTGCTAAGGTGAGTAGTCTGACAGAGAATTAGACAGATAGAACGATAGATAGAATTATATAATGATCGACTGATCAATAGATAGAACGATAGAGAGAACGGTAGAACAATAGATAGAATAATAGAACAAAAGATAGAACGATATATAGAACGATAGAACGATAGATAAGATAGATAGATAGATAAATAGTATTACAATCAGTGTCTCACCGCTGCTCTGCGTGATGTTCACGTCCACTCGCAGTTCAGGAACGCTGCTCCCAGGGAAGTTCGCTACGCAGCTGTAGGTGGCCTGATCTCTGAACTTCATGTCCACAATTTCCAGGCTGCTGGTACCGGGCGGCATGTCTGGGTCGCTGCGCAGCACGATGAGGCTGTCAGTGGGGTAGATGAGAGCTCCGTTCTTGTACCAGGTGTAGTTCACCTTGTCCTGAGGCTGGGCGTCAACGTGGCAGGAAAGTTTGAGGTCTCGACCCATTTGTATGCTCTCGCTGTCTTTGTTGGAGTCCGGCGTGATCTGGAACGTTAAGTTCTTCATGGCTAACGGAGAGAGAGAAAGGATGACATGGTGATCACGGTGGAAGAAGCATTTAGGTTATGACTAAACCCAATCCTAGAACTATCAATACTTTATTCACATTTATTCACCTTTATTTGTATTGATAACTAAAACTGTTCAAAATCAATAACTGAAATATGCCTGAAATTAAATAAAATGTAAATATTAGACCAAAAAAAATGTTAAAAACTTAATTGAATGTTTCAAATGTAGCTTTTTCTACCTAACTTAAATAAGTTTAAGTATTAAAATTGCTAAAACTAAAATGGAAATTAAAATGCATTAAAGCTATATAGTAAAAAAATATATGTATTTTAAAAAACGAATAAAAATGACAAACGCACATAAGAAAAATTACTAAAACTTAAACTAAAATAAATAAAAATATGAAAAATAAAACCTAATTTAAAATATTAATAAATACATATATAATAGTATTTAAATAACACTGTTTTTCACATTTTCTAGGGGAAAAAATGTATGAAAGTCTGCAGAATTAATCACATTTTTTATTGGTCTTGCCAACAGGATACTATGCCCCTTTTAGTAGCTAAATGCATTATGAAATTTGTGATAAAATATGCAAAAACCTGTGGGTGCAGTTTAAATGCAAGCCACAGCTGTAGTATAATAATAATAATAATAATAATAATAACAATAATAATAATAATAATTTTAAAAAGGCAGGAAATGATAAACAATAATTGAAAAAATATTTTAAAAATCAACAAAATATTCAAAATAAATATTTTGAAAATGTTTAAAATTTAGGTTTAGAACAAAGCCCATTTTTGAGGAACATTAATAGAGTCCTGCTTTCCAGTGCACTGCTTCGTCACTGTACTGTACATGAAACCATCTCATGCTTTACTTCAAACAATGGCTTTAATCATGTGGAAAAAAGCACAATTTACACGATAAAAGTAATGACTCGGTTGAAACGGCTTTTTAGGATGAAAATAATGAAATTAAAGGCAGTATCATGAACACAGCTGAAGACGCTTAGAGCATCCATAACCCCCCCACAGCCCTACTGCTTTAATGTGTTAGTACTGATGCACAATTCATAACTATAACAGCTTAGCCATGTGTTTATGCTCTGACAGTATGAAAAACGACCCTGCAGGTGGAGACAGAAAGTTTAGCGCCATATGTTCAGCGCCCCGCATATCAACAGACGGCTGCCTTACCTGGATGATTGGCTGCGCTCAGGCGTCCGTGGCACCTGCGTGTGCGTTTGACACAAAGCGAGCTCATTACCATCAACAGAGACGGATCCAGCGCGCATTCCGAAATAAGACGCTTCTACTGCTAATTACTTCCATTCCTCTCAAATTAATTGAAGTAAATAAAAATGATTAAAGAGGCTAAGAATAGCTCCAGGCCCTGATAAACGGCAGGCGTTATGGCAGCCGTTCCTGAATCACCCGCTCGGCTTGAGGAGTTTGACACGATCACACACTGCCAAGAGAGCTAATTACAGTTCAACCGCTAACTCACGCTCACGCCACATAAACACACGCTCCCACGCATACATATGAAGAAATCTGGCTCTGCAATTTTTGTGCTAAGCGCGGGACAGACAGGAAGTCATAACTCATTCAAATGCATGTCAATCAAGTGGTTGGAGGGATATGTAAACTTAAATTGAATCTGATGGCTTGAGATGTTACTAATATTTCAGCCATTAAAGGTGAAGTGATTTCTGTGCCACCCAACAGAACTGCAGAAATAAAGACTGGTTTCAAACCAGAGTTGCGTAAAATTCAGAACTGAATTGGTTCCTTTTTACATCACGAGTGTAAATTGAATTGGCCATACCCTACAGGAAGTGAAATTGTAATTAGAAATAGAAGAACAGAAAGAAGAGTTGTAATTCAATAAAATTCAACTGAGCTAGTGCATTCTGGAAATAGAGTTTTCTTCCATGTTGGTCCATAAATGTTCTAACCATCCATTTATCCACCTTTATGTCTATTTGTATGTCTAACCATCTATCTTTCCGTCTGTTCATCCATCCAACATCTGTCTGTCTGTCATCTGTCTTTCCATCCATCCATCCATCCATCCACCTTCATGTCTATCTATCTATCTATCTATCTATCTGTCTATCTGTCTGTCCATCCATCCATTTGTCCATCCATACGCCTTCATGTCTATTCGTATGTCTATCCATCTTTTAATCCGTTTGTCTGTCTGTCTATCCATCTATCTATCACTGTCTGTCTGTCTGTCCATCCATCCAGCCACCCACCCACCTTTATGTCTATCCATCTATCTATCCATCTGTCTGTCTATCCATCCATCCATAAACCTTCATGTCTATTTGTATGTCTATCCATCTATCAATCCATCCATCTGTCTTTTTATCTATCTCTGTCTATCCATCTATATATCGCTCTGTCTGTCTGTCCGTCCATCCATCTATCCATCCATCCATCCATCATCTATCTATCTATCTATCTATCTATCTATCTATCACTGTCTGTCTGTCCATCCATCCAGCCACCCACCTTTATGTCTATCCATCTATCTATCCATCTGTCTGTCCATCCATCCATCCATAAACCTTCATGTCTATTTGTATGTCTATCCATCTATCAATTCATCTGTCTTTCTATCTATCTCTGTCTATCCATTTATCTATCACTCTGTCTGTCCCTCCATCCATCTATCTATCTATCTATCTGTCTGTCTGTCTGTCTGTCTATCTATCTATCTATCTATCCGTCCGTCCGTCCGTCCGTCCGTCCATCCATCCATCCATCTGTTCATCCATCTGCCTTCATGTCTGTTCGTATGTATATCCATCTATTAATCCGTCTGTCTTTCTATCTATCTGTCTATCCATCTATCTATCACTCTGTCTGTCCATCCGTCCGTCCGTCCATCCACTCATCTATCTATCTATCTATCTATCTATCCGTCCTTCTGTCCGTCCGTCCGTCCATCCATCCATCCATCCGTCTATCCATCCATCCACCTTCATATCTATCTATCTATCTATCTATCTATCTATCCGTCCATCCATCCATCTTGTCTATCCATCCATCCACCTTCATGTTTATCTATCTATCTATCTATCTATCTATCTATCTATCCAACCATCCATCTTGTCTGTCCATCCATCCACCTTCATGTCTGTCTATCTATCTATCTATCTATCCGTCCGTCCATCTGTTCATCCATCCGCCTTCATGTCTATTCGCATGTCTATCCATCTATTAATCCGTCTGTCTGTCTGTCTATCCATCTATCTCTCGCTGTCTGTCTGTCCATCCATCCAGCCACCCACCTTTATGTCTATCCATCTGTCTGTCTATCCATCTATCCATAAACCTTCATGTCTATTTGTATGTCTATCCATCTATCAGTCCATCTGTCTGTCTTTCTATCTATCTCTGTCTATCCATCTATCTATCACTCTGTCTGTCCGTCCGTCCATCCACCCACCTTTATGTCTATCCATCTATCTATCTATCCATCTGTTCATCTGTCCATCCATCCATCCTTCACAGCTTGTCCTGACAAACTTTGCTATTCTAGTTAAAGTGCACCTATTATGCCCCTTTTTACAATATGTAATATAAGTCTCAGGTGTCCCCAGAATATGTCTGTGAAGTTTCAGCTCAAAATACCCCACAGATCATTTATTATACCATTTTGAAAATGCCTATTTTGAGTGGAAGCAGAAACACGCTGTATTAGAGCATGTCTCTTTAAATGCAAATGAGCTGCTGCTCCTTGCCCTCTTTTCCAGAATAGAGAAGTGCCTTTACAGCTCGTAACTGCTAAAAAAAACATCTGTTTGGGTTTGATTATCATGTCTATCGTGCTGAAATCATGCGTTTTAAAGCCATATTAGTTTAAACTTCTGATAGACGGTTTTCTGAGCGCAAACATCCATAACACACATATAGAAAGTGGCTGCACACGGCATGTGAGTACTAAGTTCTCTTTCACACACGAGTTTATGTTTAAAACACGCTTAAGCTACAAAAACACAGTTGGTTATGGTTGTGAAGTAAACATCTGGAAAAGAAATCGCATTTATTAGATCTGTGTATTAAGTGACATCAGCATAATATACTGTACCTATACTGCTGCTGCCTATGCTATTAATATGACCCAAAGAATAAAATGAAAGCAGAGAATCACTTACTGCTCTGGACTGAATAACGTCTATAGTCGTAATAAGAAGACATTTCTTACTTGAATGCTGCTTGCTAAATGCTCTAGCGTGAAGATAAACATTGTGTGTCAATCAACAATCGTGGGTGGGGCTGGTAAATTGTGATGTCACACTTTACGGATTCTGTGATCGGCTTGCTCTAAGACGCTGCTATTGATATATGGAGATTTTAAAAAAAGGAGCGGGTGGATTTTTATCATTATAGGGTGGTTGTGTACACACACTGCCAACACACATTTATGTCCAAGCAACATGTGAAAGTGAATTTTGCATAATAGGTGCCCTTTAAAGTGGGATGAATTTCCAATGCGTTTGAATTCTACTTCCTTACATTCAAATTCAAATGTCAGTACATGTGTAAAAGCGTGTACACTTACTTCTCACAATGAAGTTGACGGTTCTTCTCGCAGGGTTTCCCACATTGTTGACGGCTAAGGTCTGAGAAGATTCACGCTTCTCTCAAGATGGGCTTGTCCAATGAGAAAGGCTGAAATTCCAAGCGGGAGGTGGCAATTGCTGGAGGGTTTTACGACCCTTTGTGTGAGGGCATGGTAATTTGCAAATGGAACTTGAATCGAAATTACTAAAGATTCTCAGGACACTAATATATTGCCTATGTACCAACATATAATATACACGCTCGTTTAGATCATCAGAAGGCGAATTCATAGATACTAAATTACATTACATATAGGCAAGATGACAGGAATGAGTGGTTCCATCATAAGCATGCATAAAATAGTCTAAAAATATCAAAGACAACATACACAATGACCTGAAGGATATGGGTGTTCATTCAAAGAAAGGTTTTCCTATGAATTAATTAGTAGAAAAGTCAATTTCTACTGTGCATTGTGCCTCTTCCTATGGAACATGCAGTGATTTTCCCTACTCACATTCCATTAGGTCGTAAATGTATCTGGTGTCAGGGTTGCCATGGTAACCAGGGTCCTGGGCCTTGTTCACAGACAACTTGGCACCCAGTATGTTTATTGGGTGAGGGGTCTGTGAACGTTTGTTAATCTAATGAATAATTGATTTGTTAAATCAAATGAAAAATGGTGTGTCTGATTGGTCCAGACGCTACACTTGCATTTACAGAATAGAGCAGAACAAGGGAAGTGCAGGTGGTCTTGCTTCAACATGTGAACACATGTGAAGCTAAAAGTGTTTCTACAAGAGGGTCAATACTACCATTGATCAATAATAACATTTCATGAGAAATCACCTCTTCACTGCTTCTGGGTAAAGAACTAACAGCTATTCTGAACATGACACATAACTCAAGTCCCTTGGCAGACCTTTTACAGTATCTCCTTCAACGAATCCCTCTTTTAAAGCCAAAGTGTGCTGTCAGCTGATCTGGCCTCAGCAACTGCTGATCATTTATCCTCAAACCTTAGATAGTTCCTGTAACTGTATAACTCATTACCACAGATCACAAAAACATGTTATTGTCAAACCACACCCC